CGGGCATGATGTTCACCGTGAGGACAACGCCTTGACAATAAGAAAAGCCTACAACAAAACCAGCGCACACTGCCGTACACATTACAATAGGTTGTGCTGTACTCCTTCCCGCGTTTCGGTGGTGGAGGGAAATACAAAAATGTGTACAGTATTGGAGTACAGCAGCAGTAGTGTTGTTGCGGCCTTCAATTGATGACGTGTTGTCGCAGTTTTTAAGCAGCACAATTTCGTGGTCGCATTCCTGCTTCAAATGCGCGTATTTTGACACATGTTACACCTCCATTGACCCCGGGGACGGTGAGTTAGTGGCCCCGGAATCCTAAAGACACTTCCCCGCGTTAAAGACACTCCAAAAAAAAAAAACGGTGTGTCTTTAAAGCGGGGTCGACTGTACCCACTTTTGTCCGAGAATGGCGTGGTGGGTATACCCACTTGCGTCCATTTCCCCAAAAAAAACACCACGACCAGTGCACGCCGACTCGTGAGGGCAGCAGCAGCATGTCGAGGCCGTTTACCACGCAACCCTAAGCGCGGCACCCCTGGACGTACTTCGTATGCATGCCAAGTGTGAAACCATGTGTGTGCCAACTCTGATGGTTACTCCGGAGTACGCAATGTGCGGCCTACTTACTAGTCTAGTCTAGACTATCCATCAAGTAAGTCTATCCGATAAAATTTTCCCACCATCTGGAAATAATTGACGAAGACTATACATACCTCCCAGATGTACTTCATATCGTAAGAAAGCTCTGTTTCAGGCGGATCGTTTGATTGGAACAGATTTTTTTTTGGTTGACGAGAAAATCACGATTTTGTCAAGATTGTGCAAGAATTGGAATGGTTTTATTTGGTCGCGTGTGGGGTCTGATTTATTTTTTTAGTCTAAGGCCGGTTTTGCGCGTATGACGTCGAGGAGCTGCGAACGACCCAACTCAGTTTCTTTTCGCTGATATGCCACGGGGAAATGGGTACAAAAACGCAATCCTGATGAACTCAGGAAACCGTTTTCCGGGGAGATATGCACCGATAGTATTCGAAAAAACTCAACGGATTCGGACGAATTGGACCTGCAGGAATGACAAGTTTTTCTTTTTTTGCCCAAAAATGTTTTTTGGCGAGATATGTCCCGTCCGAGTTTTCTGTGTTCACACAACACGCACAACCACACGACACACCATCATCCACATCATACAGCAGTACCCCGCGCCCTCACAAGAGCCCACACAAGCCCACACATGGCTGGGCGTACTCCCGGCAGACCAAAGCGCGGCAGCTTCCAAACAAGAGCAGTTGCTGGCCGGTTCGGCGCGATGAGACTGCCACATCCAGAACCCCTCGCTGCGGACATCCCACCACAACATGACAACGACACATGTTATGAATGAAGGAGACGAAGAGGACCACAGCAGCAGCACCAGCCGCCGCGAATTGTGGATATTTCCATGTTTTGAACTTGGCTCCATTAAGATCGGATGAATAGACTAGATCATGGTGGGGAGGATCGGGGGTGTCGGCAAGTATCTGCATTTTTCTGTCTGAAATAAGTGTTGCTTTTTCGCTGTTGTCGCGGAGAGAGTGCTGAGAGGGAGGGACAAGCAACCCGGATAGTCGACGGGGCTAGATATGTTCCTCCAGAATGCATGGTGTGGCGTTTCGGGAAAATACAATACGTTTCGGGGCAATTTCGGGTAATGTGTCTGTTTCGGGGTAATTTCGGGGTAATTTTTCCCCCAAAACGACCATATTCACCGATTTTTTCTTTTGACACCGAATTTCGATGCATCTCGGTCGTGCGGTTATTGCCCACTTTGTTTCACGTCTCAGCTCTCAAAATTGCGCGAGAAGTAGTGGGCGTCACGGCAAAATTTAACCGGACGGATGAACTCTTCTAGCAGCGAACGAACGTAGCGTAGCGAACGGTATCCGTTTTGGTCTCTTGATTGGTTGGTTAGGTTTTAAGGGGATATCGAGCGGGATTTTCACTGCGTGTACACCATATGCATGTTGTGCATATGAATAGCATCATGTGGATACGTGGCAAACTGCCTCGATATGCTGCTGCTGCCCTCACGGTCGGTGTGCACTCGTCGTGGTGGTTGGTGTTTTTTCGTGTGTCGCGTGTGTGGTTTTTTACGCGTGTGTGTGTTGTTGCTGTTTGCACGTCATTTTGTTCTGTTTTTGTTGTTTTCACATCAAAAACCGTTCCGATCTCTCTCTACCCAGTACCTTCGTATGTACGTACTGATACAACACTCGACGCGGTCGATTCCCGTGGTCGCAGGCTAACTTACCCTAAAAAGGTACACTCAATCAAGTAAAATGGCCTCGAGAGGTCCGCAAGTCAATAGAAATCAACGACAGACATTCTGGAGTCCTCCACTCCCTCTGCGCGCTATGCGAGGTAACCAATGAGACTAGGGGTCACCACCACGGGCCGGAGAGAATGAGGTACACCCACATGGTTCAATCTTGGTACTTAACAACGCAAGCAGAAACAAGGCCATTTAGCACAGAAAAAGAGAGAAAAAGAGAGGAAAATAAAAGGAAACAGTAAGGAAAGATAAAATGAAATAAAAAGAGCGACGACAACAAGGGACCAGGACGAAAATAACAAGAAATAAGAGACAGAAAAAGGCATACGGTGGAGAGACCAGCAACGGCAAGCAAACACGCAAACATGGCCACCAACCAGCGATACATTGTTGTAATGGTACGCCATCACTAGTGGGGGGTTGGTGCAATGAACAACATATTCGCCTGATTGAGAGCGTAGCATCTGATTGAGAGCGAGATTGCGCGATACGCTGTAGCCGGACTACCACTGAGAGGTGGAGCTTGCTGTGTAGCTTGAATTGAAGGGCTAGCCCGTAGCTTCAAGCCGCTACCCTGGTCATCCTGTGGGAGTCTCTCGTTGTGGAGCTACAGCGGGGAGCAGAAGCTACAGCAGAGCCCACCGCCCGACGCGATACCGCCCTGAAACAGTTTGAGCAGAAATAGCCAATCTGGGCAAATCTAGCAACTTGTCTAGCTCCTCGCTGCAGCATCCGATGACGATGACACGCATATGCTCGCGAAGCTGCTGATGAGACCTTCAATTTGCACCGCTTCTTGGAATAGCCCGTCCCCTACTTGCCAAGAAATGGCAAGAGGCGTCTGGACCCGAAATTTCAATTTTTTTGGCTCTCGCTCTCAATCAGATACTTCGCTCTCAATCAGGCGAATATGTTGTTAATGGTGCAGCGTTGGGGGGGGGAGAATCAGCTAAAAGAAATTCAATCCGGCACGTATCGCGCCGCTCGGTCCATTTCTTCTCGTTTGCTTTCTTCCCTCGCCGTCTCGTCCGTCTCCTGCCCCCTTCACGCCCCATTGGTTGGTGGCTTGTGGTTTCGTCTGAGCGCCCGTTGTCGGCTGGCCTCTTCTTCCTTCTCGTGCCAGGAGGTCATGAACCTCTCAGCTCCCTGCAGCACCGCCGCATGCCAGGGTACTCCGCCCTCTACCTTCGCGGCTTCCGTCCACTTTAACTTCGGTGCCGTGTCTTTCGGTACCGGGATTCCGAAACAACATGGATCGGTTTTCGTAGATCCGTGGTCGGCCCCGAATGCCTTCAGGTCGTCGAGCACGCACTTCGGCCAGTTCTGTTCCTGTCCCCCCCTACGTTGCTTCTCCCCCCCTGCCAGTTCGCCGAACATCAGTCGTTTCGGGAGTCGCCCGTCCGGCTGCCTTGCCAATGCTCCCGCGAACAGTAGGCGTCGTTGTCGGATCGTGGCTTCAACGCTCTGGCATTCGACCCTCTTCAGCGTCTGGGCGTAAGAGAGCTGCCGGTAGGTGTCTTTCTTGCGCTTGTACCCGATAACTCGAAGCAGCAGTCGGTGGTGTATCGACCGCAGCGTCTGATAGTGGCCGCTGAGTGGTGACCATGTCATGAGGCCGTACAGCAGTGCCTCCATCGCCTCCGCCTGGAGCAGGCGGATCTTGAGTCGGAATGGCGCTTGCGGTCTGTCGAAGAGCTCCCGGCCATATCGCCTGAGGCACGCCCACGCTCCTCTGCTCCTGTAGTTGATCTCCCGGGTGAGGTCGCCATGTTCGTTGACGAGGCCACCGAGGTACCGGAACTCGGTCGTCTGGGCGTATTTCTGTCCCGCGGCTTCGATGGTCAGTGGTGGAGGCGGGGCGGGCTGTGATGTTGTAGTCGGCTTGTCCTTTGCGCGCATCAGGAGCGTCTCCGTCTTCTTCTCCGACACCGTTAGCCCGAACTCCCCGAACACCTCAACGATGATGGTCATCATTCTCGCCAGTCCTTCTGCAGACCTCGATACGACGCCGGCATCATCGGCATACAACATCCCCCATACTGCCCTCCGTACTCGGTCAAGGGGTGTCTCCTCCCCCCCCCCCGCTTCCGTCTTCCCCTCCTCCAAGCACACCAGGCTCCGCAGAACAACATCATCCTCGCTGAATCGGATGACAACGACCTCGAGGACCTCGGCGAAGAAGATGTTGAACAGCAGTGGGGATAGCACACATCCTTGTCGCACGCCCGGTGTCACGAAGAACCAGTCCGATAGTTCTCCGTCGTCCATGCGCACCCGGGCCCGCATTCCATCGTGGAATTGGCGGATGACTTCGATCAGCTTCGCGGGAATCCCGGCCCTGGCCAGCACCTTCCATAGCATCTCTCGGTCCACCGAATCATACGCCTTGTTCAAGTCGACGAAGCACATGTAGAGCGGTATTTTCTTTCTCCGCCCCAGCTCCTGGAGGCGGCGCACGACGAACAGCATGTCGACGGTGGATCGCCCGGGTCGAAATCCGCACTGTTCCTCCGGGAGGATGTTGTTGGCTTCGCAGAAGGCGCTTAGACGGTTGGTGATGATCTTGATGGGGACCTTGCCTACGTGAGATAGTAGCGAAATCCCCCTGTAGTTGTTACAGTTGGACCGGTCACCCTTCTTGTTCAGCACCTTTTTGCATCCTTCCACTCTCGCGGAATATCTCCTCCGTTCCACACCTTGACGAGGGTGGTATGAAGGTGTCCCAGGACGAAGGGTTCGTCGTAATCGATCTTGAGCAACTCGGCAGGGCGGGAGTCATGGCCGGGTGCCTTCCAGTTCTTGAGGCCTTTCGTTGCCCATGGCAACTCCTCGAGTTCTGGCACATCTCCCAACCGTTGAATGTCACGTGTCGCTAGCCGCTGCGTCATTCGTTCGATTATGTGTGGGTTCAGGGTGGGGGATTTGGTGTTGAGTAGGGTGCTGAAGAATCTCGCCCACCGCTGGAGGATGTCGTCCCTGTTCCGGAGCAACACGCCGTTCTCATCCGTGACGAACTGCTGTCCCCCCGCTTGTCTCCCGCTGAGGCCCACTGATCTCTTGAGGTGTTGGTACAGTCCTCGCATGTCGCGATCTTTGTAGATTACTTCGAGTTCAGTCATATATCCGTCCAGGTGGGCATAAATGCCCGTTTCGACTGCTGTAACCACTCCCTTACAAGCTGCTTTGAGAACCCTCCACGTCGCTGAGTTCCAGTTGCCCCTCACCGCCCGGCGAGTTTCCCGACGTTTGGTAAGGGCCTGCTCCAGCGCTGCTCGCGTCTCTGGGGTCTCACATCACTTCCGCGTGCGGCGTCTCCGCGGTTCCTCCCCCAGGGCCGTTCGCGCTGCGTCGAGGAGAGCAATGGTTATGTCGGTCGCCAATTCCGCGGCGGTGGTTGTTCGCTCGTTCAGTCGTGCTCCAGCGCTGCTCGCGTCTCTGGGGTCTCACATCACTTCCGCGTGCGGCGTCTCCGCGGTTCCTCCCCCAGGGCCGTTCGCGCTGCGTCGAGGAGAGCAATGGTTATGTCGGTCGCCAATTCCGCGGCGGTGGTTGTTCGCTCGTTCAGTCGTGTGTCGAGGTTGAGGAGGAACCGATTAGTCACCGCACACCGTGCTGCTTCGAACTGCAATTCCCGTCAGTTGAATTGCTTCTGTTTCGGTTTAGTCCGGACTGCACGGTTGTGGACAAGCCTGCCACCGAGGTTGACGGTGGCTATTACCATATTGTGGTCTGAGTCTGCATTGATTGGGCGAACCGACTGGGGGATGACGACCACGTATGATACTCGGCCGTGATGTGCCTGCCTTGTCAGGATGTAGTCAAGGCGCTTGCAATCGTTTCCCGACACACCGCTGTATGCGTGCATATTCCGCCCTTGCGTGTCTCAAAGAACGTGTTCGTGAGAGCTAGCCTGTTTTCCGTTGCGACATTCAACAGTAGCATGCCATTGTCGTTGAGCTCACCACGCCCGTACATTCCTTTTACCCTTCCGTCCCCTCCGTCCAACCTATCTCCCGTCTGCGCGTTGGCGTCCAGTAGGACATACACACATTCTTTGGAAGGGATCCTCCGCACGAGACTGTCAAGTTTTCCCCAGAACACGCGCTTGCTGTCGGCGGTTGAAGGTTCGGTTGGAGCATACGCGGCTACGAAGTTGACCGCTCCGCGGTGGCATGCCAACAGAAACCTTATGGCCATAAGGCGTTCGTCAAAAAACTCCGTAGTGAACGTGGATGTCTTTCACAGTGACTCTTTGACGGCTATCCCCACACCATGGACTCCACCAGTCTCCGTACCACAGCAGAACACCCGGAAACCCGCTGCTGCGAATTCTGTTCGACCTGCCCTCCGTGTCTCCTGCATTCCTACCACCGATACGCCTTGTCTCGCTTCCTCCGCTGAAAGCTCGCCCGTATCCATTCNACTCCACCAGTCTCCGTACCACAGCAGAACACCCGGAAACCCGCTGCTGCGAATTCTGTTCGACCTGCCCTCCGTGTCTCCTGCATTCCTACCACCGATACGCCTTGTCTCGCTTCCTCCGCTGAAAGCTCGCCCGTATCCATTCGCCCCGTTTACAGCCAAAGTCCGCACATTCCAGGTTGCTACCCTGAGAAGTTGAACCTGCTGTCTCTTTCGCGCGGCGCGCACTGCTCCCTTAGCTAGCCTACGCGCCGCCCGACCCCTTGTTTTCCTCCATCTTCCCCTCTTGTTTTGTTTTTTTGCTTTTTTCTTGCAAACACTCGGGCANGAAGTAAGCACAAGATGCCGAACACCCTAAGCAGGATGCAGCGCACCCTTCACGCGACTCGCCGAATATCTTACAGCGCTTCGCGCTTGGTGATGTGAGAGCCTGGTCCGGTGAGAACCCGGCGTGCTCCGTCCCGGCTTTGTAGGGATGC